ACATGCTCAAGGTTCAGCTGACCGCCATATTTGGGGTCGGGAAGGAATTTTCCTCCAGGGCAGATTGAAAGAGGCCCTAGAGTTTTTTCGCCGTCCTCTGTAGCATGGGTCACTTGCTGGAGGATTCTCTGCTCCTTGAAGTCTTTAAACCATGGTTTGCGGACTTCAATAGCTCAGACATCGGTGAGAGGTTTATCGCAGGAGAGGGTGGGTGAGATTCTGTGGCCTGCCTTGTGCAGGAGGTCAGACTAGATGATCATAATGGTCCCTTCTGACCTTAATATCTATGAATCTGTGTGAAGGCCCAAGCCTTTTTTGAATATTGGTAATCCCTTGGCTGAATTATTTCTGGTTGCAATGAGTTTCACAGGCACATTGGGTTTGGTATACGTGTTCATTCTATCAATTTCAAATTTTTGGCCTTTGTATTTTATTGTAAAGGAGAGAAGATATTCCTGATACAATCACACTATTAAGATATGGACTACACCAATAAAATTGAAGAAACTCTGCTTTATTATACCCTCTCTGAAAAGAAATATATAAAAATCTCAAAATAAAGCCTTATAGATTTTTAAACTTCTTCAATAATCTGAAAAAAAAATCGGTCATATACTGGTTTTAGTTAATGTCAAAAACGGCTAAAAAATCCTTACAATGGAATTATATGCATTACTGTAACTTGAGAATATAAATTCAAACAGTCTGCTTAATCATCTCATCAGATATCTTCAAAACCTGTGTGACAGTGAAGTTGTGTCTTTAAAATATCCTTACCTTTAGATAAAGCAAACGTAGTTCTTTGATATTCTATATAAACTGCTCAAATATGACCCACAGAAGACTGAAAAGAGTTAGTGCAGTAGACAGATGTTACCCTTAAACTATAAAAACTGTGAGTGGAACTTCTTTGACTTTTTCCTCTATGCTTTGAAGAAATTCCAAACACAAAACATTGTGTATGGCAGTATTTTTATACTATACCATTTTGCTACTTCGAACTTTAAGAAAGTTTACAACACATCGCTTCTGGATCAAAGACACTATTCTAGCGCTTATGTATCAGTGACAATACATACAAGACAACCCCTGCTGTCTACAAACGGAGTTATAAATTCTCCTTTCAACATTTTGGGCCAAATCCTGAGCAGGTATAAATTGGCTTAGCTCTTTCGAAATAAATGGAGTTATATTTATTCACCTCGCTGAGGATGTGGCCTTCACTTGCTAAGAGAGAGGCATATTTGTGCCACTGGAGATAAAAAATGGATATTCTCTTCAGCTATGAAGGTTAAATATCAAGGTTGAAGTCTTCTTGCCTTTGCACCACATGAAAAGGTTTTTAGTACAAGGTGAAGTTTAAGCACCTTCACCTGGTTGTAAATATTTCAGGGTAAAAGCACTCCTTTTCTTTGAGGGTGTATTTTCCCGAGACTTATCTGACTGAATTTGCCCTTAGTGAGAGAATATGTGCTATGAGCTTATTTTCACAGGCTTTACTTTGATATACTCTTCACAGGCAGAAGGCACTTACTGTACTCTCTCTCTCTCTCTTTGGCAGCTACAGTTGTCTGCTTCTCTCATGAATTACTGCATTGCTAAGTTATTACTTTTGTCACAAGTTGCCAATACATTCTGGATGATCAAGTACACAGTGATTATAGAGCTACTGAGAAAATCTGAACCAGGCCATAAAAACCCAGCACATCTCACTGTAGAATGGCTCAACTGCTAACACATAATTTGTTTTGTCTAAATTAAGTTTATTTCCGGATACCAGACTGCAAGCCTGGCTCAGCAGATAACATATTTTACCACAAGAAAGTTATATATTTCACATCAGAGCAAAACAGAAATGGGTTGAACCTCAAGTTGAGAACTTCCATGACCCCCAAGCATGGGGCCCTGAGTTGCCACAGACCCTCTCTCCATATTCGAAGCAGTCAACTCTCAATCCCTCCCCTGAACTAAAAGGGAGGGAAACTGAGCTGTAGTTAACTCCTTGTTCAGAGATCAGGTAATATACCTAGATTCTGTAACCCTAAATATATGTATTTATTTAAAGAGATAGACTACATTTTATCTTCTGTAGAATCTCTCTATTCCATCTTGCTTTGAGTAAAACACACCAGTTCATTCACTCGATTGTAACAGATGTTCAGTTTTTTTCAGCCAAAAATTCTACAAAAAGAGCAAGCAAAGGGAAAGGATAAAAGTCTTTTATCTTAAGGTAGATGCCACCCTATTTATATGTATTGGCTGTAAAAGGTATAGAATGTAAGTCTTAAGCATACCCCTGATTTTAAGAGAAAAATATTACAGGTGCTAACCAGTTTCTTGCCCTTTCAATAACTTTTCCCACATCTGCTGCTGTGACAACCCTCCTAGGAGAAAGACTCTCGTCTTTTAGATTACAAAAGCCTACAGATGAGCATTATACAACATCCCAATATCTTGCAGAATGGGAAAGCAGCATCAGTTCAAATCCATAATTTAACATTAAGTTAAAAGTCTGGGACAAGTAGCTTTATGGTGGATTTTATGAAATCTTAAAACAGACGAGTTGTCTAACTTCTCTGAAATGGGGAAGGTTCCCTAACCAGATGAAATGAGAAGCATGTTTTTTTTTCTCTAATGTAGAATTTAACTCATAAAGATATGGTTAGATACTATTTTGATAACAGTTTTCCTTTTCTAGATTATTTATTGATCTAAGTATACAGATCTTTGTAGAAATATTTTTAAAAAACTTCATTAATTTCTGGAGGATGCATATTTCCAAAACTTTGAGCCACCTTTTTTAGTTGGCTGCCAAAACTAGAAATTTCAGTAATGCAGGACCATAGTTTAATAGATAACATTTTAAATGTATGCATGAGGTGGAAGAATTTTATGCTATGTTCAACCTGATAAATATAAGGGATAAATCCCAATAGAAATCAGAGAAGTCAGTGCATTAGACATCAGAAAATAATCTTGCAGGTATCATAATGTATAAGTCTGTATCAAAACAGCAGACATTTTCAAATATCTAAGCCAACGTTTTGGCAAGTGACGAGCAATTCTGGGTGCTTCCATTTGTGGGTGCTCAACTTGACACCTTAAAGACTCTGATTCCCAGGAAGTATTCAGGTCCCATCCTTGGTTTCTGGAAATCTAACCTCAGATGTTTTATGAGGCCCTGATTTGCTGAGGCACCCATAAAATACTAGACCGTTATCAAAATATTGGTCTAAAATAAAATTTCTGAATTAAAATTAACAGCACTTAGATATCTGGCTCTGTGAACCATAGATTACATATAGGGGAGTTGAGAGAAGTTCTTGGAGAAAACTAACATATGGCCAAGAAATTCTGTAGCAGCTAAAAAGAGTTTCTAAAATGTTGTTAAAGCTATATTTGAAGTGTAACCATTAGCACATTATTTGTAAGTGATTAAGAGAGAAAAAAATTGGTATCTTTCCTTCAAATCAGATTTCATTTTAATGGATTCAGAGTTTGCTAGCTGGCCAACCGTACTGCTACACTCCTTGAATTAGTTGATTCTGATTAACCAATTACCAGTCAGTCCCTCCATGTAGTTGTCTAGCGACCTCCAATGACAAATGAACGTAATATAAATAGCAAATGTCCATACTACTTAGTTCATTTGTGACAAAGCAAAATATTCTATTATATACCCCAGAGTCTTGTGTTATAGCAACCAGCAGTACTCAGAATACATAAACATAGATTAAAGCACAGTAATTTCTCAATATTAAAAAAACCTAAACAACTGTTAAAGCAAATTAATATTAATGTTACCAGTATACGATTTTATCACATGACTAGCTAAAACTTAGCATTAGCTCTCTAGTAATCCCTGGGCCATTAGGCGCAATGTAACATCACACACATCACATGCACAAACACCCCAAATCTCTATTATTTTAAAAATGCTCTTACACTAAATTTAACTTATATTCATAATGAAGTATGTTAGAGAAAGGGATTTTCTAAAGTTTAAACCAAGATGGGATTAATGCTCCTTGTCTGGACCTTGGATCACCAAATGTAATCCCTGCTGGAATCCCTGATACGAAGCACTAATGCATTTTGCTTTACTAGTAAAGCAGTCATTACAACCTCACTGGGTTCACTGGGACAGAAAGAGAATGTCCGAATGCTTTTTCCAGGGGTGTGTGAGCATGGACGAGCCCACTGAATCTTTCTGCTGAAGAGTGCCTTTGAATTCATTATGTGAAGTTGCTAGTTGGAGCCCAAGCCTGCTCTCATTTCAGTCAACGGCCAAAACCCGAGTGACTTCAGTGGGAGTAGGGTTAGGCAATATTTCAAGGTGCTTCCTAGACCCAGGAGAAAATTAAGAAGGTGAGCTCTTTTGGATGTGGATCCTATGATAAGAGGGAACCTGTATGAAGCACAGAATTAACAAGAGCAGCAGGCAGTGATGCAGGTAACATCTGCTGTACAACCACACTGCAATATCAAACATTGAGGAGTTGGGGGAAAAATAAAAGTCCTTAAGGGCAGCTGGAGCCATCTCTGGAGAAGGCCCATTTGATTCATTTCAAACTAAAACTTACAACACACTCAGCATCGTGAAGAAATGTTTCATTCAATGAACAGCATATTTAATAGTTCTTCATAAGCTCTGACATATGTGGACGGAGACAAACAATTACTCTTTTTCAAGTAGATTTATGGGGAAAAAATCTCCACTGTCTAACACACTCTAAAACAGACTTAGAAATTCAGTCTTCAGTGACTAGATTTGATTCAGAAAGTACTATAAGGATTGTACACAGACATTTTTCAAAAAGGCAAACTCATGAAAGTTCAGGGTTAGCTTCTGGCTACTTAAATATACCCACATGGAGTTTCTTGCTATCTCTGAACCACAGGTCTAAATAACCAGTGTGACCAGAACATTGAGCTATACCATTCGATGCAGCAAGTTACACGGCTTTAACCAAGCTAGGTAGTTAAGTGGAAAGCCTTACCTTATTCATGTCAAAAGTGTGAAATACTTGTTCAACGTACTTGTTTGCATCTTGAGTAAGACCTTGCAGACCTAGAACATGTTTAAATTCATGAAGACAAAGCTGTCCAGATGGGCACTCCTTCATAAATTTTGTGTACCAGTGATGGATTTCCATGGCGTTAATATCATCCGCTGATGCACTGGCTCCCATAGTGTCAAACATTCCAAGTACCCTTTTTCAGTACTTATTCATCCAAATGCTTATGCTGCTTAGCTCTTGTAGCTTGCCGACAATGATCATTTAGACACTAACTCGGCATCTAGGAGCTACTGTAAACCTCTTACAGGTCTCCACAGATATAAGTTAAGTAAATATAGCATCCTAGTGAGATTACCTCCAGTGCCCAGCTTAAATGCAGAAGGGTTTTATCAGTCGATGATACTCTTTCCTCCCACTCAATGCTCATGGTGCTGGGACATACTGTACAATGAGGAGAGACTGGCCAGATTTTGATTTCACATCAAGGTTTATGGAGTTAAACCAATGTAAAAAGGGTGTGTATGAGGTGAGATTCAGGCATTTTGAAAAAGTTGTAGAACAGTTGTTTCAATATTTCACAGGAATAGGGGTGTGTCAGGCATAGTTTCTCACTAAACTCTGGGGCCCAGCTGTCCTGTTGCATACACAGGGGCTTTGCATTGAGGAAATGGCATAAGTTGGTTCACTTACCATTTACTGTCAGCTTATACCATCTTGTTGACCATAAGAACACAAGACTGGCCATACTAGGTCAGACCAATAGTCTACCTAGCCCAGTATCCTGTCTTCTGACAGTGGCCAATGCCAGATGCCCCAGAGGGAATAAACAGAACAGGCAATCATCAAGTGATCCATCCCCTGTTGTTCTGGCAAACAGAGGCTAGGGATACCATCCCTGCCCATCCTGGCTAATAGCCATTGATGGACCTAACCTCCATGAACTTATCTGGTTCTCTCCCTGTTATGGTCTTGGCCTTCATAACATCCTCTGGCAAAGAGTTCCACAGGTTGACTGTGGGTTGTGTGAAGAAATACTTCCTTTCATTTGTTTTAAATCTGCTTCCTATTAATTTCATTTGGTGACCCCCTAGTTCTTGGGTTATGAGGAGTAAATAACACTTCCTTATTTACTTTCTCCATACCAGTCTTGATTTTATAGACTTCTATCATATCCTACCCTTTGTTGTCTCTTTTCCAAGCTGAAAAGTCCCACTCTTATTAATCTCTCCTGTTCCATACCCCTAATAATTTTCCTTGCCCTTTTCTCTACCTTTTCCAATTCCAATATATCTTTTTTGAGATAGGGAGACCATATGTGCACACAGTATTCAAGATGTGGACGTACCATGGATTTATACAGAGGCAATATGATATTTTCTGTCATATTATTTATCCCTTTCCTAATGATTCCCAAGATTCTGTTAGATGTTTTGACTGCACATTGAGTGGATGTTTTCAGATAACTATCCAACACTGCAGCATACTATTGCCCCTTATGTTAGTGCTGAGCTGTATCCCCTTTCACTTCCCACTATGCGCTACACAGAGACAAGGCCACACAGGAAAAGACCTATCACTGAACATGTTGAAGCATCAAGAGCTGCTCCTCTGGATCTCCCTGCATGGGACTTGGACTGTAACAGCAAGTACCAGGCTTTTAAATATATATACTACAAGAGTGAAATGAATAGTTTGCACTTAAATAGCAACTTCCATTGAAGCATCTGAACCCACTTATTGTACCCACTCTTGGATATCTGAAAACACTTTGGACAACTACCTCCAACACATATACTTGTTCACTGCTTTCTTTCTTTTTAAATCTCTCTTACCCATGCGGCTCTTTACATAATTTTGGTGAGCAGTTATAGACTAAACCTGTTATACGAGATGACTTTTAAGACAAACTCTGACAAAGAACAAACAGCAATTGTACGCTACGCACAAAGACCTAAATGGTCATTTACGTTTGTAGTACTTGTTATGTGGTAGTAGTTAATGGTTTAACGTCACAGCAGCCAAAACTGATTAATATAGTTTAGCTATTTAGGCATGACCTATATAGTAACTCTCAAAGGTAATTCAAAAAGTGTGTCAAAATGGAGGGAACAGAGTAGTGCAAGAGAAAAAGGTGGTGTATCCGTCTCATTCTGCAGGGCTGAACACAAATGCAGATGTCCTTCAAATTCCTGTACAACTGCACAAACTATACAGGCCTAATTTTCAAGAGGGCTCAGGCCCAGCCTCCTTTCGCAGATGGCTATATTTTCTAGCACATGATGTACCCATACGAAACAAGGTTGCTCTTTCAAAAATTTGGCCTCAAGCCTGCAAAGGAATTGCACTCTACTGTATAGGTGATGTGACCATATCTGACCCTAAGTTTATAAAACAGATTAAAAGGAGAACATACTTAATCTCTGCAGAAGTGAGGAGGGACAAGTGGGTAGGCGTACAATTTAAAGCAAACTGGACTAATTGTAGTTAATTTTTTTTTGAAGAACAAGGACGTGCCAGTGTAGACTGGAAAATTCTTCCTCAGTAGTACGTTTGCCATAGTGTCCAAAATTAATGCTGAGTATTAAGATATGAGACATTGTTATTATTTAACTCTGTGGACTCTATGCTTGGTTTTGTAACACTCTGAGCTTTTCATTTAAGTTCCATAAGACAAATAAAGTGCTGGAGCATTATAACTAAGTAAAAACCAGAAGTCCAAGCATATCTCAGAAGCCAAATGTTTCTTGAAAGTATGTGCTAGTCTGGTTTGTGTAAGATGTACAGACAAGACTTCAAAAACAAGTTCCATTACAAACTAGCTTTCATTAAAAACATTTTTCAAATAATCCCAATAGATCAAATGCTGAACTCTTTTCTTGGGCTCCATTCCTTCAATGGGACTCTATATGGGTTCAGCAGTCTACCAATATGCTATCAGATGCAGGGTTGAGGCTGGAGTTTGCAACTCAAGCAAGCTCCCATTGACTTCTGTACTAAGGAGTTTCTCTGTGTAATGCCTGAAAAAAGTAGACTAAATACTGAACAGCCAGAAACATTCCCTTCGTAAATATAAATAAATTAGCCAAAGGTTTGCAAGCTCTCTAGAACAACTGTATTTGTCACATCCAATAATCGGAAACATGTAACAAAGATACTGTAAAATAACATTTTTAAAGTCTTTTATCTTCATTGACTAAATGGAAATCTTCAATAATATCTATTACTATGAAGTACTAACATATGATACACAGGTCGGTCTGTATCTATGAAGTTACTACATCAAACAAATGGAAGTAGTGTTTATAGCTCAAAGGTAAAACAAAACATCTTCTCAAGAGCATAATGCACAAAAATTCAAAGGAGAAGCTGACCGGGTCAATTTCTCAAAAGCATAAGCCATGATAATTTTCTTTGTTAACAGTTTACATTCATATTATGTTAAGATTAATTTTCCAATGTATTTCTAAAAGTTGTGATAGTATAAATATATGAGCAGTGGAGACCAAGCCACCTCAGTTCTTGAAAACATCCACAATTTCTTCATATGGCACGACAGGTTCTCCTAACTCTGCTGTGTTTGTATTTACAATGGGTAAACTTACAATGCCAGATTGGCACATGTCTTGTTTAAGGAGCTCTTCGAGATAGCCATCAATTTGTTTTAAGTCATCTACATGGTCACCCTAAAAAACAAACATGCATGGATCTATAAGCACTTAGTATCCTTGTAAATATTATTTTAAAGTATTGCAAACAAATATAGCTATGTTTACCCAGACCTAAGAGCACACAATCTAAAATAGATAACGCAAACTGAAAAAAACCAAACAAAAAAAACCACAGCTGAGGAGATGGAGTGTGCGTGGCAATTAGTGACTGGAAGGGAGGAGGGATTGCTTGTAGAAGCAGGTAAGCAAGGATCTGGGAGAAAAGACAGCCTTGTAAAAGTAATTAGTCTGTTCTAGATTTATAGGCAATGTAATAAAAGGAACAAAACTGGTGGCAAAGCATGACAAAGCATGGAGCAGAGAGAAAAGAAAGCAGAGATACAGACAGAGGGGTAGGGGTGTGATTATATAGAACTCTGTAGAAGAGAACGAGAAGCTTGCATCTGATGCAATAGAAGACAGGACCACTGAAGGGAATCAAAGGGGATAGCATGGCCACTGAAGAAGATGGATGGGCGTTAGCAATGGTGTTTGGACGGACTGGAGAGGGAGAGATGAAAGGCAGTGAGGGGAAGATAGGAGTATTTTTACAACGGTGTGTTATACCATAAGGGCATTTACATTAACAGTCTTAAAACCAGTGTTAAAGGAATCTAGGCAACTTTTCCACTGAAAACCTATTTAATAGCAAAACTTAAGCATTAGCTCAGAATTTAATTAATTACAGTCTCACTAAATTCCTAAAATAAAAAATACATAAACGATTTATGAGAACCAGTTGCTCATTTACAGTCTTATCTTGCAAAGTGCTGAGTGTCTGTCAGTTCCGGACACAGGATTTAGAGAGGGAGCCAGGACTGAAAAAAATAATGTCCTTTAGCCTTTTTTTTTTTTCTCTTTTTCATAAGATAAAGCAACTGACTGCTCCAACCTAAACATCTCCAGTCCTGAAAAAAAATTTACTATTGGGTCCAGATTTTTGCAGTCCTCAATATTTTGATGTTCTTTAATTTCAAGAGACACAGTGATTGTATGAGTCAGGATGAAGCATTTTTGCTTGAAACAGATAAAGGAAAAAAAGGAAGAGTGCTCTGGTACAACAATAGAGGCAAAATGTATTTCCAATGAGCTCCACACCACTAGCAAAAAGCCTTCCTACATAAAAGTTTGAGCTAAAAATTGCAGTCTGGTTAGTGATTTCACAAGATGACTGAGCTGTAGCTGGTTTCCATTGAACCTGGAAAAAAGTCACCTCTCATGGCGCCTGAGAGGTACATACCAGATGGCAACTCGACTCAAGCACTGATGATGTCAGGCCCTTCCTTGGAAGTAACCCTAGGTGAACTCACGTGGCAGAGAAAATGGACACAATTCATAACAACATTAAGAGCCTTTATAAGGTTTCAAAACCTCCTTTCATGACATTGTGTAACACCCAGGTAAGCATAATGGAGAGCTTCAGAACTAGAAGACTGTAGGCATGGAAAGACTGGTTAAATATTTATCATGGAGTAT